CAACATTAGTAACATAGCCAATGAGTTTAAACTTGGAGGTGGCTATCTCAGGAACATTGAGAACATTTGTGTTTTGTTCAGAAAAAGGAAAGGCAGTATTTTGAATTAGAGAGAAGGTTTTGATTGTGTAGTATTAACAGTATCTTTAAAATGGCTAATGACATTTGCTCCAGGTGGTAAGGGAGAAACAGGGCATTGGCATGGGGCGGGGGGCGGGGCAGGTGGGGAGATGCTTAGACAGGGAGCAGAGAGAAATTTGAGCGAGTGGCCTAAAGACCTACTGAAAGTGGTTCTGTCAACCACTTTCTTAATATTCCAGTATATATTTATCATACTGTTAGTAGGAAACTTTCAAAGCAGCATAGCACTGTTGAAAAGGGAAGATGTTATACACTTCTATTTTGCTAAATAAAGGCATTCATTATAAAATGCCCTCAAATTCCTATTAAGATGATCCCATTACATAGGCATTCTTGCACATAAAAATGAATATAATCTCCAATAAGGGATCCCTTTAAATTGAGTAAAGAGATTTATTAAAAAATGCAGCCTCGTCTTCATATTTCCATTTATTAAAAAAGTCCCGGTGACTATGTTTAGTAACCTCTGCAAGGGAGGGCATGACCCAACAAATTCACTCTTCCAGCTTTCTTTGTAGGAACGGAGGTGACTGAGGTAATGAATAGCATTTGACATGGGAAACCCATGGCTGTTCACGCAAGGTCACCTAATCCCGTGGGTCTCTCCCCTTATTTATAAAAGATGAGTTGAACTAGATGATTCATCCATTCTATCATTCAGAAAAAAAAAAAAAAAAAAAAAAAAAAAAAAAAAAAAAAAAAAAAAAAAAAAAAAAAAAAAAAAAAAAAAAAAAAAAAAAAGAAAAGATATTAGCCAACTCACATTTATCAGTAGTGTTACACACCGGGCAGGGAACTAGGTTGGGATGTTAAACGAATAAAATCCAAGATGCACTAGAGGCATGTGGGTTAAAGAGGGATTCTTTCTTACAGGGCTTTAGGGTGAGGCTTCATAGATGTGACATTAGAGGAAGGACAAGCCAGGCAGAGTGAGTCGTCAGCAAAACTAAACTGGAACCCGGGCGGCTGGTGGGGGCAAGACCGTGAGAAGGAAGCAGGATCTAGAAGACGAAGAGCTGTCCCGGCTTTTGCAGCCGAGAGCGGACAGTAACTCCTCCAGTCCGCTACACTGACAGGTGAGGCAAGCCCAGCAGAGAGTCTGGAGAAGCTTGGGGCGAGAAGTGTCTAGGCTAGCTGGGGCTGTAGCAGTGCGTTGGAAAGGAGGGGCCTCCCTGCGAACGCGGGCACGAGCGCCACAAAAGCGCAGACTTGTTTTCCCTAGAGTTGCGGCACTCTCGTTTCTCCTCCCACCATCATCACCGACCGTCACACCTCCCTGTCCAACCCTCTGGGGGCACACAGAATCATCGGCGCTCCCAATCAACTCTTTGCAGTCCGGACCTTCCCGAGCCTGCACCACAGGGGTCAGCTAAGGGCGCAGCGGAACACCATCCTCCATCCTCCCGCTACCCAAGAAGCCCGGGACAGCAGCACGCGCGCCTCCCGGCGGCACGAGCAGAATTACGCACGCGCGCCAGCTGCGGTTGAAGCCGCATCCGGGTCACGTGCCCTATTTCCGGTTCACGCCACGCCTCTCTGTGGCGTTTTGTCCAATCGGATTTCTCCCTCTCGCCCGCGTCTGGGCTGACTCCCCGGAGCTGCTGGCGACCGCTAGGCAGCTTGGCGCGCGTCCTCCGGCCCGCCCCTCCGCTCGCCGCAACCCGGGCTCCTCCTTCGTCCAGCCTCCGGGGCGGGGTCTGTTGGCTCGCCCTACCCTCGGCTTCTCAGCCTGCTCTCAGCCAAACGGATCCCCTCCCGCCAGCAACACGGCTTCCCTTCCACAGCAAGGAGACGGGGGCTTCCCCTGCGCTGCAGCCGCCGCCGCCGCCGTCCCTGCCGCCGGCCAAGCTCCGCCGCGTCCGCGGCCCGCAGCAGCGGTAAGTGTCGAGGGGGTGAGCAGAGGTGCCCGGGATGGAAAGGAGGGATGACGGGGCGCGCCCCCCTCCGACCCGCGCGCGCCCCGACGACCCCACCCCAAGTCTTCACGGGCCACCACCGGGGCGCCGCGCCCCGCAACTCACTTCTGTCGGCGGCAGCGCCGTGCGCGCCACTCTGCGGCTCGCCTGGGGACGCGGGGACAGGTCCCGGGTTCCGCGGGGACCCCGCGGCACCTGTGGTTCGCCGATCGCCTCAAGTTTGGCGGGGCGTTTTGGGGAGGGGCCGGGGTGGCGGCGACCGAGGACTAGGCGCCCCCGGCGGGCCGGCGGGTGCCATTGTCTCTGCTCCGCTCTGCTCCTTGCCGGTCACCTCGTCGGGCTTTTAGGCAGTGATGGAGTGTGGCCCCGGGAAGAGGGGAGGCGTCGGAGACTGCGGGACCCCAGGGACGCTGGACCCGAGCCCACTCCGAAGCTGAGCCCATTGTGTTTGGTTTTTTTTAATGCCTGTGTGAAGAAATTATGTTGTCCCGGGATTTGCTGTGAAATCAGAGAGTGAAACGGAATACTTGCGTCTTGCTGGGTTTCGTCCCACGTTAGCACATCATTAATTTGGAGGAGAATGCTTGGTTTCTTGGTCCTTCAAAGTGGTAGGGCAGATACCGGAACCCTGCTCCAGATAGCCTAGAGCGCACTCTTTCGCTAGCAGACCTTTTCTAAACCTCCTGGTCACCTCCAAGGTCTAGGAATACCGGGTCCATTCTTTTCCAAGTTGTGGTAACGGTTTGCATTGCATTGCGTGTCCAGTTGATGCTTCATTTGCCGTCCCCTTCGAATACCGCTATCTTCCCTAGTTTCATGGGTGGCACTCTGCTATCAGTGAATTATATCCGTGTATTTTGTGTTACTGAAGCATGTTGCATGGGGTACTGGCCAATTTAAACTTTATTAAAGTTAAATGGCCACGCCATAAATTTTCAGATACCTTCTTGATGCCTTTTTGGGTTATGGCAGAAAACGATGTTGATTTCCTATCGAAATTTAGAGCCAGTTTTATTCTCTCTTAGTTGTGTAAATTCCCTCTCCTGGTGTTCAGATTCAAGGTGGTGTGGAGAATATTAAGAATTTGGCTTGGGGTCTGTTTTGCAGTATCACGTTAAAAGGAACTTAAAAGGGTTAAAAGAAAAGAGAGGATGTATCTGAATTTTACCTTCAAATTCCCTTTGTAGAAACAGTACTTACTTGTTTGTACTTTGGGATGACCAGCTGAATTACAAAATACTTGCCTTAAAAATGTAGACTGATCAACAGACTTGCAAATACTAAGTAAATCTATACAAATTAGCTTAAGTATAAAACACCAGGATTCTGCATACGTTCATCTGCAAATGTGATTTTTATTCCAAATTAAGGATTTTGTGCAATATCTTAATATTGTGTTGCTTTTAATTAAGTAGTCTGCAATATCTCGTTATATGTAAGTTTTACTTTGGATTTTAAGCTTATATTTTCTTTCAGATACTGTTAACTCAGTTCTTGAGTGCATATTTGTGCTAGATTTTTAAAAAGTGAGATGCAAACATTAATTTGGTTTTTCTTAAGGGAAATGTGTATTTGTGAGTTTTTTGTATTAATATTCTTTTGCTTAAAATATGGTAGCATAAATTGAAGACAGTGCTTTAAGTGATAAGCAGTCTGCCTGCAAGAAATTCAGCCTGGATCTAGAAGAGCCTCAGGATGAAAAATAGTAGGTCTTCTGTTTCCTAGAAATGTATTTAAGCCAACTGATGTCTACAGTTGTCTTTTGATGCATGTAGAGATGAAGTCGATAGCACGGGTGGAAAATCAGGTAGAAAAATTTTTTTTAAATATTGGTGTTATCTTGTTCTTTGAAAATTTCCCTCCAACTTATTACATTTTATTTCCACACACTCCCCTCCAGACTTACCTGCATGAAGTAGGAAGATCTTTCCAAAAGAATTTCCTGTGTTTTAACTTGCCTAGAAATATTGATAGCTGCTAATCATTTTTACTCTACTCCCAAAGCTTCTTTGAAAACCATGCAGTCTTAACTGTTGAAACTAGGTAATTGTATGTAATCCTGATCTTATTTATCTTAACAGATGCAGTTTATGTTGCTTTTTAGTCGTCAGGGAAAGCTTCGACTGCAGAAATGGTATGTCCCACTGTCAGACAAAGAGAAGAAGAAGATCACAAGAGAACTTGTTCAAACCATGTTGGCACAGAAGCCTAAAATGTGCAGCTTCCTTGAGTGGTGTGATCTGAAGATTGTTTACAAAAGGTATATAAGTTTTTATTTACCAGAAAGGTGAAATACAGTCAAACATTAGGTCATTTGTAATGTGGAAACTGCAGACTTGTGTGGAATGGCATAAGCGATGATTAATAAATATTTTAATGAAATAAGTTTAAAGGAAAACTTTGAATTTAAAAATAAGTGCTGTTTCGATTGATTACCGAGGCTAAAATGGTAACAGCAGGGGAATCATTTTTAAATGAATTAGATAATTAAAGACAAATGATTATTCATGCTGGATCATCATTTTAGAAAAATTCAATGAATTTCATTTCATTGCAGGGGTAAATAAGGTCAGTACTTAAAATTTTAAGTAATTCTCTGAATTTAGACATGGATAGATAACAGTGTAATAATCCCTTCTCCCAACAAATCTGTAAAGTAATAACTGATATTTGACATGCGTTTTATCTTTTAGGATCAATCTCACAAATATGGGAACACGGACCATTTCAGTGATACAGATGTTTAAATACTTTGTGTATATGTGGAACCTAATTGCTATTAGTATTTATTTATTTATTTATTTATTTGAAATAGACTTACTGCTGTGGTAAGAGTTGTGCTTAGATGTAACGATTTTACCAAGGATGGATGTTTAAAAAAATGATGTTGCAAAATGACTTATAGGTTGGCTTTTTATGTGGAAGTTTTCAAAAAAACGCTACACATCCTTATTTTGGTATCTAAAGCTTTAAATACTTTAAATTTCTCAAGATTCTTCTAAGCAGCGTAAATAAAATATAATTTCTTGTTTTATGGAACATTTTTTGAGGCACATTTACTTGTGTCTCCCCTTTTCTGTTCCCTTTTGAATAATTTACTGAATTTAAGATAAAAGCATAAACAATTGTCTTGTGTGGAGAGTATGCGGGGAACTAACAGTATGGAGTGCAGTGAAGATGGGGAGAGAAATCTGATCCTCCTTCTCTGTCACATTCCAAGAATGGCTTTTCTGGTGGACAGGGTGGCAGGGGAAGAAATGGAGATTATAGGACATAGAGACTTTCTTAGAGACTGGAGGTTTCCCTTTATGGATTTAACCATGTGGGGTGATTTTTCGTATTCACGGTTCAGTTTGGTGCTTGTTGAAAAAGATCACAGAGCAATCATAGTATCTGAGAGCTAGGAGATGTCTTCTCATACTCTAGACAGCTTAGATTATTCCAAAGGGTAGAGCCTTAAGTACCACAAGTGGAAATAGAATTGCCCTTGTGGAATCCGAAAGAGGTACCCTATCTCCCTGCTTAATGCCTCTGCTCTCCGTGCAGGGAACAGGTCCTGAATTCAGAGAAACATACTTATTGATCGAATTTCCATTTGTAAAAGACAAGAATTTGTAAATAATGATTTGCCCAAGGTCATGTCCTAGTGATAGACACAGGGCTGCAACTTAAATCTTTTTAAGTGTGAAGGCAAAGGTTTTAAGTGCTCATGGAAAGAAAGATTAGATTTGCATTTCTTAGAAGATTGCTGTAAAATAGTGGATGGAGAAGTGGAAGGGGCTCAACCTGGCACCTGCAGCATCGGGACTGTGCTAATTGGATCCTGAATATAGAGGCTGGAAAGAAGTCTAAGCTGGGAAGAAGCGCTGTTACCTAGGGAAGTTTGACATGACTTGGTCACCCTGAGAAGCAGTCGAGGAACAAGGGAGTGGATTGACCTCTCCTCCAGTTTGGCTTATGGGATGAATGGTGAACTAGAGAATTGAGCTAATTTCAGGGTAAGTTGATATTGGGGTGTTTTTTCAGTTTAGTTTAGAGAGGCCTGGCTTTCTGATAGGGTTTGGTAGGTGTAGATATGGAATTTGGGGGGAAATTAAACATGAAGTATTAGATAACCAGTCTTCAGGTGCAAGTCTAGGGGGTGTAATGAGAACGAAAGAATAAGTGTTAGAAGCAGTTTTGAGACTAAGAACCCTAATGCCAGATGCTGCATAGAGAAAAAGATTAGACTGTTATCGCAAGCATTTTCGACATTGTCTATTGCCAGAACATTTTCAGTGGAGTAGAGATGGAACTTTTGATGTAATGTGGAGAAGGTGAAGAGGAAGAGAAATTGAAACAGCATGTGTAGAATGTTTGGGAGAGCTTTGCCAGGAAGCACTGAAGAGGTGGTAACCACCCATAGACATGAATTCCCGGATGGGCTTTCTAAAAGGTGTGAGAGGCTTAAGCCTATTTCTAGACAGTGAAAGGAGTCCCCCGTGTGGAGGAGGAAAATCCTAGCAAGGGAATCAAGCGCATGGCATGAATGGGCCATTAAAAGGAAGAAAGGAAACAGCAGGATGGCGCTCTTACACTTGGCTCTCAACCTGTTGGCCCCTCTCCTTTTTAAAAGTTACAGAGAAAAATCTAACCTGACTCTAATATTTAGAACAATGTCCTTTGAAATAAAAGGTTGACTTAATAATAAGGACAGGGAAGAGAAATATAACTTTGCTGAGCTATTTGTACACAAAAACCTCATCTACTTGCACTTAACAATGTATCTTGTTATTATCAGGTGATGTGCTTTCCTTGCTCCAACTGGAAGAAAAGACTTTTTAAAGCCAAGAGTTTCTGCTTAGTTCCTGAGAAATTCTGAACTAGCACTTTTGCTGCTCATACCAGCAGGTGTTTTTTTGTATCTTCTCTGTTCCCTTGTCTTGTGCAAGTTCTTTGTCCTCAGCATCTGGCATCCATATTTTCCCTTTGTGAGAGGAAGCGGGAGGACGTAAGGGTGATATACTTGAAAAGACAGACTGAAAGTCTAAGAACTTCAGTTGTGTTCCCATGTGCCATTAGCTAATTTTGTGACTTTGAACAAGTTATTTCGCCTTTGCTTTTGTGATCTGCAAAATATATGCTCTTGAAGATCCCTTGGAGACAGAGCATCATATGCCTTTCTGATTCCTAGTTCGTACAGCGTTTTATGGTAGAGGCGATTGAATTAAAGCCTTTTAAAAATTAATTTAAAAATATATCCCCATGTTACTATCTTGAGGATTTGTTGAAGGATACTTATCGATTTTCTTTACTAACAAAAGAATTTTTAATGACATACCAGTGGGTATTGAGCGTAGTTTAGCTACATTCACCCCCAGTCAGCTGATATTTAGCTGACTGCAGGGAAGTCATGTGTTTCGAATATAAGAATAGGCACTTTCAGATGTTCTGAGTGCCAGTAATTAGAGTAAGCCCTAATCCGCAGTGCTAAAAATAACTAAACATACCTCTCCTCTTACTAGTCCATTATTAATTTTTCTTCAGGTTTAGACTTACAAATATGCACTAAGAGAACAAAATGAGCTCATTATTGAATTTTTAAGCACCAGTTGGTCCTAAAAATAGAGAGTACTCTTCAGGTTCTCTTGGTAATCTTTTACTAAATCAGTGCATCTTTTTATTTCTCTCCCTTCTTCAAAGCTCTTAAAATACTGCTTTGAGCATGTTTTAATTTTAGCCAGGTGCAGGATTATTTTAATATACGTGGCAGTTGTGGTTTTTAAGATTAAAAACTTGGGCTCCAGGGTCAAATTTCTGTTCTGGGCCAGTTGCTCAAGCCTGGGTCCCCTATAAAGGCAAGTAATAACAGTGTCTCTGTAGGGATGTTGGGAAGATTAAGATGGTAGAATATGCAAAAGCCCGCACTAAGCACTTAGTGCATTTCTGCAGTCCTAGCTGCTATTGTACTTCCTTTTCTTCCATCCCTCAGGTTTCTGAAGAGGTATTCTTATCATGCTAATGGCTATCTGTTCAAAGACTTCTTTACACTGATTGCTTCTAAACAATCTCATTCTTAGTGAAAGTAAACATTAGAGGACAGAAGGTGTAGCTCAGTGGTACAAAAGACCCTGGGTTTGATCCCTAGCATGGCAAAAAAGCAAAAATTCAGTAGTGTTGGGGGAATTACTTTATATTTTTAAATATTTTTAGTTGGTGCCTAGACACATCAGCTCTGATCATTTTTAAGTTCTTGCTTCTGAATGACTGGTGTAAGTTAGGACCTTCAACTGCTCTTTGTTTAAATACTGTGTATTTATAAACAGAGAGACAAGTGCTGCGGATAAGAAGCAAGGGATGGTCCACC